TGGGTCACGTCCCCTAGGTGGATGGGGCGGCGGGCGAGGACGCGCAAGTAGAGAAAAAGTGCCTTGTCACTAAAACTGGGAACAGCGACCTCGCGCAGGCGAATCAAGGCCCTTTCTTTGCACGGACGGGGGGGAGGGGGGCGGCGGGGAGCGGCGGATCGGTAGTTTTTGAATGGCGAGACGGGGGTTTGGCGATGCGCCTAGGGAGAGGTTCCTAGGTGTCTAGGTAGAGGTAGCACCCGTAGGTAGCACTGTAGCAACAGCAGCAGCAGGCAGTAAAATAAGGGGGACCACGGCGGGGTACGTCAGTTCGTATCGCTGGGGCTGGCGTCTGGAAAGGTCCAGGTGCAGTAGGCAGACAAGTGCTGCGGGCAGACCAAGCTCAAGACAGCGGGCAGCAGCTCTACTTGTAACCGGTCCATGGCCCCAGGACCGGCCTTCAAGAGTCATGCTGGAGGGCTCCAATGGCGGGAAAGGATCCGGTGATGGTGCACTGCACATTTGCGCTGCACAGCACATAGCACATACAGCACACAGCACGAGCGAACAGGCTTTGATGCAGCGCATCGTGCCACATGGGATGCTCAGCAGGTGTCGATCATTGGCCGCCCGCACGCAGAAAGACTAGACCCTGAGGCATGGTCCGTGCACATGCGGTTGCGGACCAGCACTCGCTCGCTACAGTGAACGAATGACATGGGAAAGTCTCACGAGCAGGCTTTGGCAGACCAGCAGCGGGGAGACGTTGATCCATCCCAGCAATGTGCATCCATCCGTCATTCAGCGGAAGGGAACCAACGCGCCGCCTCACCAACTGGACTTGGACTGTGCGTTTCGCCTGCGCCACAGCATTCGAGCTTCTTACTTTGGGACAAACCACGACGCGATAGATGCTGAGTGTCATGGGCTTGAAATTAATTCTATGCGGAGCTTTCGGAAACCTGTCCTGTATCGTTGCTCCTGGTACTTCCTCCACCAGTACCGATTCATGTGCCTGCTTTGTGCCCAGCCTTGCCAGCCTGCTGCCTCGACCTTGACCTTGACCCGTGGCTGAGCCCCACAGCAGCCACCTGGCGAAAGGCCACACATCCAACCTAAGCTCCCACCGAGTCGGTCGGCTGGTCTTGTCGCCTGCTTCCAACTTCAAAGCTCCCTCTCGAGAGCTTCCTTTCCCCCATCTCCATCCCACCTCGACAACAGCATCACCAGAACCCCGCCCTCTCCTATTTCTCTCCTCCCCCACAGCTCTTCCTCGAGGAGCGGAGCGACACCCTCCGCATACGTCGACTCTTCTCACCAAAGCGGCGTCTCTTTCCCACTCGCCCCCCCTCTCTCCCCTCCTCTCGCCGGCTCCTATCATGTCCGCACCCCACGACGGCTACGGCCAACAGCCCTACACCGATGAACCACAGCAGGGCTTCGAAGGCCAATCCGAGGCGCCTCACGCTCAAGCAGCCGACCATGCCAAGAAGAAGAAGCGAGGATACGCCTCCCAGGCCTACGAGTTTGGCGCTGGCGCAAATACCGGTGTAGCTGGCCAGGTCCCCGCCGCCGGCCCCCAGCAGTATGGCATGCCCTCCCAGCCTCAGACGCCAGCCTACGCCGCCGCCGGCTATCCTGGACAGGATCCCTCGCAGCTGCAGCAGCAGCAGCAGCAGCCCGGTGTTCCTCAGTACGGTGCTGGCGCTCCCGCCTACGGCGCCCCCCAGCCTCTTGCGCCCCAACCCGGCGCTCCTCAGCCCGCCGCCTACGGATACCAGGCTCCCGATGTTGGCTATCCCGGCCCCGGCCAGGGCGCCCCCGCTCCCAATGCGCCTGGCGTCGCCGGCATCAACCAGCAGATGGCCGGCATGAACCTCGGGCCCGGCGGACAGCCTCAGCCCCAGCCCGCCCAGGCCGCCCGCCCCGTGGCTCTGAACCAGCTCTACCCCACCGACCTCCTGAACCAGCCCTTCAACGTCTCCGAGCTGGATCTGCCGCCACCTCCCATCATCCTGCCCCCCAACGTGAGTCTCACACCCTCTCGCTTCTCTCCTCCGTGCCATAGCGGTTCCTAACAGCCAACCTTTCTCCCAGTCGAGCGTCACACCTTCGCCTCACGCCAACTGCTCGCCTCAATATGTTCGCTCTACGCTGAACGCCGTCCCCACGACACACTCTCTTCTGAAGAAGTCGCGCCTTCCGTTCTCTCTCATCATCCAGCCGTACGGCGCACTTCACGATGACGAGAGCCCCGTCAACATTGTCCAGGACCAGATCATCGCGCGCTGCCGTCGTTGCAGGACCTATATCAACCCTTTCGTGACCTTCCTCGACCACGGCCACCGATGGAGATGCAACATGTGCCAGCTCACCAACGACGTGCCCCAGGCCTTTGACTGGGACGCCGCGACGCAAAAGTCGACCGATAGGTGGGGTCGTCACGAGCTCAATTACTCGGTCGTTGAGTTTGTCGCTCCCCAGGAGTACATGGTCCGCCCGCCTCAGCCCCTCGTGTACCTGTTCCTCTTCGACGTCAGCTACGCCTCCGTCTCTACCGGCCTCCTCGCCACCAGCGCGCGCACCATTCTCGACAGCCTCAACAGGATACCCAATGCGGACCGCCGCACTCGTCTCGGCTTCATCGCCGTCGACTCGAGCCTCAACTACTTCTCGATCCCCAAGGACGAGGACGAGAACGGCGACACCAGCATGCTCGTTGTCAGCGACCTCGACGAGCCCTTCCTGCCCGTGCCCACCGATCTGCTCGTGCCCCTGACCGAGAGCCGCCAGAGCATCGAGAACTTCCTGACGAAGCTCCCTGAGATGTTCCAGAACAACCAGAACAACGGGTCTGCCCTGGGACCCGCCCTCAAAGCCGGCCACAAGCTCATCTCTGCTCTGGGTGGTAAGATTGTCGTGCTCACTGCGTCGCTTCCCAACCTCGGCGTCGGCAAGCTCGAGATGCGCGAGGACAAGAAGGTTCTGGGCACGAGCAAGGAGAACGCGCTCCTGCAAACGTCCAACAGCTTCTACAAGAGCTTCGCCGTCGAGTGCTCGAAGAACCAGGTCTCGATCGACATGTTCCTCTTCTCCTCCCAGTACCAGGATGTCGCGTCCCTCAGCAACCTGCCTCGCTACACTGGTGGCCAGACGTGGTTTTACCCCGGATGGAACGCCGGCCGTCCCGAGGATGCCATCAAGTTTGCCTCGGAGCTCAGCGATCACCTCTCGTCCGAGATTGGCCTCGAGGCCGTGCTGCGTGTGCGTGCGACCACGGGTCTGCGCATGAACGCTTTCTACGGCAACTTCTTCAACCGCAGCTCCGACCTGTGTGCCTTCCCGGCCTTCCCCCGTGATCAGTGCTACGTCGTCGAGGTCGCCATTGACGAGAACCTGACGAAGAACGTCATCTGCCTTCAGACTGCCGTGCTGCACACGACGTGCAACGGCGAGCGCCGCATCCGTGTCATGACGCTGGCGCTGCCGACGACCACGAACCTGGCCGACGTCTACGCCTCTGCCGATCAGCAGGCCATCGCCACCTACTTCAGCCACAAGGCCGTCGAGCGCGCGCTCAGCGGCGGTCTCGAGGCGGCCCGCGACTCCCTGCAGCACAAGCTGATTGAGCTTCTGCAGACGTTCAGGAAGGAGCTTGCCGGCGGCAGCATGGGCGGCGGCCTCCAGTTCCCTTCGAACCTGCGCGGCCTGCCTATACTGTTCCTCGGTCTCATGAAGAACGTCGGTCTGCGCAAGTCTGCTCAGATCCCGTCGGATCTTCGTTCGGCGGCGCTCTGCCTGCTTTCGACGCTTCCCGTGCCTCTGTTGATGCAGTACATTTACCCGAGGCTCTACTCGCTCCACGACATGCCGGACAATGCCGGCACGCCGGACCCCGAGACGAGCCACATTGTGCTCCCGCCGCCGGTCAACCTCTCGTCGGAGCGGTTCGCGCCGTATGGTCTCTATCTCATTGACGACGGCCAGACGCAGTTCCTGTGGGTCGGGCGCGACACGGTGCCGCAGCTGCTCGCGGACGTGTTCGGCATCGAGGACAGGACACAGCTGCGTGTTGGCAAGGGCTCGGTGCCGGAGCTTGACAACGACTTTAACGAGCGGGTACGTGCCGTCATCTACAAGAGCCGCGACAACAAGGCCAAGGGCGTCGGCAGCATCACGCTGCCGCACCTGTACGTTGTGCGCGAGGACGGCGAGCCCAGCCTCAAGCTGTGGGCGCAGACGCTGCTGGTGGAGGACCGGGCGGACCAGGGCATGAGCGCGGCGCAATGGCTCGGCATCCTGCGGGAGAAGGTGAGTCCATGATCTCGGAGCTTATTATTCGCGACTAACACTGTCCAGGTTATGACGTAGGCTGCTCCAAGAGTGTGGAGGGGATGGTTGGAAAAGGACGGACGGATAGTCGTAGGTCCAATAGAGTAGGAAGCCTCTGGGAAAGCGTTTGGGGGGGAGGTTTCATGATAATATCACAATATCATACAAAAGATGTCGAGGGGTGGTTTGTAGCGCATACAGTCCGCGCCCTTGGACAGGCCTTTCATGTTAGACAGTTCGCCGCCTGTGCATTCGTTGCTGTGCATTCGTTGCTGTGCATTCGTTGCTGTGCATTCGTTGCTGTGCATTTGTTGCTGTGTATTTGTTGCCTATGCATTTGCCTGCTGTGCATTCAGTGTCATGGCGTGTTCGGTGTACTAGCAAGTGCTTTAGAGCGCCGCACCCGAGGGCACATGGTGGATGTATATGGCCACGCTGACGCTGACGCTGACGCTGGTCGGATTGGGATCAGCTCCTGGTCCATATCAGTTTCGACCACGTTATGCAGCGATGCGGACAAAGCAAGCAGCAGGCCAAGCGGGTCGAGGAAAGCATCCCATGCCACTTGTGGGCGTCAGTCCTCCGAAGAAGAAAAAAAAGAAAAAAAGGGAATCAAGAAAAAAAAAAAGAAGCAGTCCTTTGAGCAGTCCCTCGCAGCCGTGCCAACCACGATCCATCACCAATTGGCAGTCAGCAAAGGGCGTGCGTCAGCGGGGTTGCCAGACGGCGCAAGTGTCTGTCCCGTTCTAGAGCTTGCCTTCCGCATGGGGACGGCAGAGCAGGCCGGCGGATCACGATTCTGCTTTTCGTCCTGATGGTGTGTCTGGACTGACATGAGACGAGGCGGGACGCAAGGCAAGGCAAGGCAGCACGCGGGAGGGCACTGCAGTTCGGGGTGGCACTGCCGCTTGTTGTGCGCAGATACACGGACACGGAGATGCATCCATGGAGGCCCGAGAACGGTCTCAGGTACTTTGGAGCCTTGAGCCAAGGCTATTTCAAAGATTCTCATCTGGTATAAGGCGATCAAGCGTTGTTACATGACTGGTCTGGAAAGCTGACTGGTCTGGAAAGCTGACTGGTCTGGAAAGCTGACTGGTCTGGAAAGCTGACTGGTCTGGAAAGCTGACTGGTCTGGAAAGCTGACTTCTGCCATTCCATCTAGAGCGCCCAGTACGTATCGTTGTGCCTGAGGAAGTTCTCAGCCTACAGGGATGGGGAGCTGTCTGGTGCATCCTGGCCGCTGCAGGCCCCGAGAGCTGTCTGGCGCACATCTGGCGGACATCTGGCGCACATCTGGCGAGACAGGCCGGGGATGAATGGTGGCAGGCACTGGAGGGCAGCGACAGGCCGATCAGGGGATTTCTTCGTCAGAGTTGCGACGTCAGAGTTGAGACGGGATCGTCGAGGCAGGGGGGGGGGGGGCTCGGAACGGACGCGTAGCCTTGCCTGCACGCCTTCCACGCGGCGCTGTGCCTGGCGTGCCTGGCTTGCCGTCCCGGGACTACCAGGCATCTTGACGTGGGCGTAGAGCGTCTTACCTGCCGCTGCCGATGTGGGTTCGCGCCTCTCGAGGTTCGGTTCCAGCGCACGAGGAGGCTCGCGCTAGAAGGGGAGGAGGCTGGCGAGCAGCCTGGCCCTGGACCTGAGACGTTAGTGTAGGTGTTTACTGCTGGGCCGGCGGCCTGCGCTGGCCTTCCTGTGAGCGATGCAGATGGGCGCGAGCTGTTGGGTGATGCTATTTCGAGCCCGAGAAGTGGGTTGAGCGAATCGAGTCGTGGGTGAAAGTGAAAGGCCACATGATTGGAAGCTTATTGTGACGACGGCCAACGCCATCAACACATGTGACTGGTCTTGGTGGTGTGTGTGTGTGATGTCTCTCGAGCACGCCCACCGTCGTGGGCACCCGCCCGGCCGCCCTCTTCTCGTTCGTCTGATGAATGTGACGGCGGCGTCTGCACCCGACGCCCAGGCATCGGTTTGCAGCGGCGTGCTGGGAGCAGGGCAAAGGTAAGGTACCAGAGTGCCTCGAGGGGGGGAGGGGAGAAGCAGCACCTCCACCGAGACACAGAGGCAATACGAAAGGAGATGAAACTGGCTCGCCTGGCACCAGTGAGGGGTGAAACACACGCGCCGAGGGGGAGGGGGCGGCAAGCGCACACGGCAGGCCAATGGGGCGCCGAGATAGGCGCTGTACGGGCAGGAGGGGCCAAGGGAACGTGCCGGTAGGTGCCCTCGGACCCTGTCATCAGCGCGCAGCTACCTCAGGGGACTAGGTGCCACCTACCCATCTACCTACCCACCTACCTACCTACTTACCTCAGGTACCTATCTTAGGTACATGACCTACCGTGGCGCCTTGCACTGCGGGCGGACGGGAGACCATCAGAGACCGTCCCGATCCGTGTGGCACTACGAGAGGTACGAGCCCGACTGCGCTGCCCCTGGTGCGTGTCGAGGTACCGCCCCCTCCACTTCACCTGGGCTGGGCCACAACTGGTCACCCCACACCCCACCTGCCCACCCCAGCCCACCTCGAGTGCAACCGCTCACGGCGCGCACACACACACAGCCCATTCGTGTCCATCACATCCTCAGGTGCACCATCAGGACCATGTACACAACGCGACGCAGACAGCGGTGCCTCGCTTGTCGTTGTCGGGATGATGGGCGTCGAGCTTCCAAGCTGGCGAGGGGGCATCGTCAGTCAGAAGGCAGCATATCCCATAGCTCCTCAATGGGCTGACCCCGCCATCCGGTCCGTGGCGCCCCCTACCGTTCCTAGATAGGTACTACGCAAGCTAGGTACGGTAGAACCAGCAAACGCTAGGGGCTGAGACGACCGGCCACAGGGTAGGGTGCCGCCTAGCACGATGCCCCCCCCAGCACGGTGCCCCCTTAGCACGATGCCGCCGCGCCCAGGGCACCAGAGCCAAGGTGGCCACCGTCACAGTGTCACCGTCCATCCTCATCACGAAAGTACCCGGTGGAGCGGCCCCCCCATTGGATCCAGGATCCAAAACAGAGCGTCGCCCGTCGCCCGCTGCACACACCTAGACCCCTTGCCCGTTCGCCTGAGCAAACTGGACGGGCGAGTGGTGACTGGTGACGGGCGAAGGCGACTGGACTTTGATTCTGGACTCGGACTGAACTCTGACTGAACACTCTGGATCCTGGACGGGACCTTGCCAGGTGAGAACCGAGCACTACTCTTCTTCCTCTTCTCTGTCTCCTGTCTTTCCTCCCCCTCTCTCCTCTCCTCTCTCTCTCTCTCCCGTCTTCTCTCTTCTCTCTTCTCGGTTACGTCTCTTGCCCTGGTGCCCGCTGCCCCGACTCCTTTCCCAAGGCACCCGACCGTTTCTACGACTTGACACACGGCAGCACGGAGCAGAGGCCACCAAGGTAAGACCCTCTTCTGGGGCCCGCCCCCCGTGCTCATCCACTACCACCTCCTACTACTACTGCTGCTCCCTATGCTGCCTCCTACGCTGCCTGCCGTACATGAACCTGCCGCTTACCCCTCCCTCTTGAGCCACCCAGCTTCCCGCCAGAACACCACCATCCCTACCTTGCCTCTCTCCACCCGAGGCGTTCGTCGTGAGTTTCGCTTCCCTACTTTTCTTGAATCCTATCCTGGTGCCGGTACTCGCTTGGGTTGCATGCCGCATGGCTTTCTGTCGCGGTGGAGAATGGGATGGGGGACGAGGAGGAAGACGAGGAGGACGACGAGGAGGGGGGGCGCCTTTTCGTCGCCTCCCCCCCCCCCCCACTGCCCCAATCCCCCCCCTCTCTTACCCTCTCTCACGCAACCCCCCCTCCCCGCCATTGCCCGTTGTCACGGAGTATCCTTCTCAGCCCAGCAAGCTTGCGTTTCCCATTCTCCCCTCTGCACATTCCGCATCAAGCTCAGAACGTTCGCATCGTGCGTAGTCTCCCCCCCCAAATGATCCTTTATCTCCTCTACAGCGCCTTGCCGTCTGGCTCTGCCTGCTGATCTGGCCAAAATGACCTGTCGGTTGCTCGGCGCGCCCCCAGAACCCGCCCGAACCTCACTCACTCAACCACCTTGTTGGACCCTGAAGCTAACCTCGCCCGCCGGCCCCTTTCGCAGACCTCCTGATCCGCACAACCTCCTGACGACACAGTCGCACGATCTGCCCGGCCTGCACCTTGACCTGGCTGCCAAGAGGCATCCCCAAGAAGGGAAAGAAAGCTCTGACCGTACATGGCCGACGCGAGACGTTGACGACACGCCTACAACGACAGCGGGCCAGCCCCCCTCCCCACCTCGCCTTCTTCTCCTTTGAAGAATAGACAAGACGCAACGCAACGCAACGCAACGCAAGGCCCGAGCGGAATCAGCAAACCCGGCCCTTCGCCTGCGACTGCGCTTCCCCGAACGACCACCTTTGACAGGGTCCACCGAAAACCGCATTTCCCGTCTCCTGCTCCTTCGTCTCCA